CCCCAAAACCCCAAAACCCCAAAACCCCAAAACCCCAACGAGAAGTGTCAGGTTGAATTTTGATTAATTTGACAAAATGAACTATAAAATCTTGGACGGTTCTCTAATCTAAAAAGGTATCTTCAAAGAGGTCATCTTTCATTAGGTCCTTTAGTTCTGCTTCTTTCTCCTTGTTCTTTCCATTCTCAGCTTTTAGCTTTATGAGATCATCTTTTCGCTTGAGGAACTTCATCTGCTCCATCTTTCTCTTCTTCTCTTCCTTTTCTTTCTGCTCAATAAATTTCTCCGCTTTGTCAAACTGGTACTGACCAATCTTAGCTTTCTGTCTGGCAAAATACTGATGTCTTTTGGCATCCTTTCTCTTCTGCTTTCTGATTTCTAAAGAGATTCTTAGATGCAGCTCTTACGCTTATCCTTAAGTCTGCGTTCTTGTTCCAATTTGAAGATTTCTTCCTCTAATTTCTTTTGTCTGAAATCTTCGAGCTTGTTCAGAGTTTTGATCCGTCTAGATAAAGTCAGAAAGGCTGGGATTACTTCTTAGCTTGCTGCAGCTCTTTCTTACGATGTTCCTCCTCTCTTTGTTCTTGAATACTCTGGAGAAGATTACCTTGTTTGGTATCAACAATATTACTTCTTCCTCTCACACGGACATTCGCATTCAGCCCTTGCTCCTTTTCTCTGCCTATAACCTTTATCCAGTCCCATTCTTACCTATAAAAACATTTCAAAGTCTTTTTGAGGCCGCTTTTCTTTATATCACTCAATTTTAATTCTCATTGCTCATCTGCGTGTTTAAGAAGGAAGACACTTTTTGACTACTCCTCGAAGAGAACGCTCCAGGCGGGTACGACTGGGGGTTGAATATGTCAGGGATTCCTACTGGAGAGGTCGTTCTCATGTCTGAACCCTTCCCAGAAAAATGCTCTACAGGTTAGGAAATGTCACTTACGGTTCTCCAGAGTAGAGCCTCGCATCGTATTTGAAATTGGAGGCATCGATTCAGACACTTTTGGAACAGTATAGTCGTACTTTGAAGGAGGCAATTTTGGAAGTTCCGAGATATCATTATAATGCTTGCATGGCAGGGGCAAAGTTCAAAGAGGACAACGTCCTTTCTTTGATAAATGATCCTTTAAGTGAGCAGACCCCATCTGGAAGTTACTAAAATTAGTTGAGTTATTAGAACGTGATTTCTTTGGTGTCAATTTATTTTCGAGCATTTTTGATAACGGTGCGTTAGGGACTAAGCTAGGGAACATATCATTCCCAGAGTTTGTAGTTTCTCTGGGACTGAAATGATTTCCTTGCCTAAACGAAGATCTAGAGTATCTATATTGCTCGAAGTTATTGTTGTTTTCCTTTCCTATCGCATCTGATTGATCAAGCTGCATTTTTAAAGGCTTTTTGGTATGGCTTATCCCATTACTCAAAGGTTTAGCTTCTTCATCCTCGTTCCATTGTTGGTGAGTATTATATTGAGTAAAACCTACATTATCAGTTGGATCTTCTCCTTCATTCTTATTCTGATTAAAATTTTGACTAGTGTTGGTATTTGACATAAATTTCTGCAGCTCTAATTTCATATATTTATTCTCTTGCATAAGTTTTTCTACATCTTTAAAATCTATATTTCTCTCCTTCAATAATGAATTCTCCTGCTTGAGTTGCATCAACTGCTCTGCTAGCTCTCCTTGGCCTCCTTTCCTTCGAATGTTGAGAATATCTCTCAGGTGTAGGATTTCCTTTTGAAGTCTCTTCACAAGAGCATCATCGGAACCTTTAAAAGTATTCGCTTTCGCTCTCACCATGACCTGTTTGGCCCTATCAGCAAATTTGAGTGTGCTGATAGTCTCCTCAACACAGTCCTCACCAGGAGACACAGCTGCGACGAGGAAGGTTTTGGTTCTACCTCCGAGAGAATCTTGTAAAAATCTCGTGATTTTAGAGTCTCTATAAGGAATATGCTTCTTAGATTGCTTTTTACCTAAAACTGATATAACCTTCCCCAGTGTAGTTAGAGATAGATTAATAGTCTTCAACTCCTCAAAATGTTGCTCATTCATTATTTCTTCCTTATTGATCTTCTCTGATCCAGCAAGATCACATAGATTTAACTTAGCTCTCATTAGCATTCCATCTGAATCCATTTTATTCGATTCCAGAAGTAGCTGGAATATTGAATGGCTACGACTGGAAGCAGCGTTCATAAATGTAGACCTTGTAACTCTGTTCCTTTCTCCTCTTTTAAGGAGGATAAAGCAGTCTCGATCCTTCTCAACGACATACTCAGTGAGACCCTCAACAAAAATGCCTGCATTTTTGTCTTCTCTGATATCTAGAGGATGCTCGATTTCAGGATCTTGCAACAAATCGTACAGCTTCTCATTATAAATTTGAATAAAAGAGCAATACAACGTATGCTTTTTCATGTCCACAGTGCTAAATAAATGAGAGATAGTTCGAGGAATAATCCCGTGGTTGTCAATATTACTAAAGAAGTCATTCTTCATCCCTCCAGAGAGACGACTAGCAACAGATTCCTCCCACTTTGGGCCGAACATGGTGTGAGTTTTCCCTGAGCCAGTCTGTCCATACGCAAATACAGTTCAATTTATTCCTGTAAGAAGGTCATTTAGCCCAGGTTTCATGAAATCAAACACCTCATGTTGTGTAGAATCTTGGTCGAATATTTTATCATATCGGCTTTCAACAACATGTGTCAAATCTGACACTTTGATTGTATTTTTCTCTGGGTCTCAGAACACAGTGGTGGCCCCTCTTTCTCCTTTAGGCTCCCATCTACTTGAGAGTTGGCCTAGATCCCCTCTGTTAAATATCGTTCTTTAAAAATGGTCGTCAACGGACGGCTACTTGTATTCTCTCGTTTTTCTTCTCACCAACGACTTCTTCTAATTTTCTCTCTTCTTCCATTTCTACAACTACAAATTTAATTTTTATAAAGATTTTGAATTGGGGTTTTGGGGTTTTGGGGTTTTGGGGTTTTGGGG